TGTGCCTGTGTGGGGACAGAGGTATGTGGGAAATCTTTGTAACTTCCATTCAGTTTTGCTGTGAACCTAAAACTACTCTAAAACAAATTAAGTCTTTAAAAAAAAAAAAGGCTGCCTCTGGTTGCTCACGCCTGTAATCCCAGCACTTTGGGAGGCTAAGGTGGGTGGATCACCTGAGGTCAGGAGTTCGAGACTAACCTGGCCAACACAGTGAAACCCTGTCTCTACTGAAAAAATACAAAAATTAGCTGGCATGATAGTGGGCACCTATAATCCCAGCTACTCGGGAGGCTGAGGCAGGAGAATCACTTGAACCTGGTAGGTGGAGGTTGCAGTGAGCCGAGATCACGTCACTGCACTCCAGCCTGGGCGACAGAGTATTTAGTAACTAACTAAATAAATAAAATAAAATAAATAAAATAAAACAGAAACAGGCCAGTCATGGTGGCTTATGGCTTATGCCTGCAATCTCATCACTTTGGGAGGCTGAGGCAGTGGATTGCTTGAACTCAGGAGTTCAAGACCAGTCTGGGCAAAATGATGAAACCCTGTCTCTACAAAAAATACAAAAATTAGCCCGGCATGGTTGCAGGCACCTGTAGTGCCAGCTACTCTGGAGGCTGAGGCAGGAGAATCGCTTGAACCTGGGAGGTGGAGGTTGCAGTGAGCAGAGATCATGCCACTGCACTCCAGCCTTGGCAACAAGAGCGAAACTCTCTCTCTCAAAAAAAAAAAAAAAAAATTTTTTTTAAAGAAAAAAGCAAAACAAAACCAAACCCAGGTCAGGTGTGGTGGCTCATGCCTGTAATCCTACCACTTTGGGAGGCTGAGGTAGGCGGATCACCTGAGGTCAGGAGTTAAAGACTAGCCTGGCCAACATATAGTGAAACCCTGTCTCTATTAAAAATACAAAAATTAGCTGGGCATGGTGGCACATACCTGTAGTCCCAGATACTTGGGAAGCTGAGGCAGGAGAATCATTTGAACCCAGAGGTGGAGGGTGCAGTGAGCCAAGATGGCACCACTCCACTCCACCCTGGGCAACAGAGCAAGACTCTGTCTCTCAAAAACAAAACAAAACAAAACAAAACAAAACAAAACAAAACAAAAAACCAAAACATTAGCTAGGCATGGTGGCTTGTGCCTGTGGTCCCAGCTACTCGGGAAGCTGAGGTGGGACAATCATTTGAGTTTGGAAGGTCAAGGCTGCACGAGCCGTGACTGCACCACTGTACTCCAGCCTGGGTGACAGAGCAAGATCTTATCTCAATCAATTAATCAATAATAAAAACTTTAAAAACACAAAGAAGGATAAAAAATGAATATTAATTAAGTAAATTTAATAAAGACATGATTTAAAAAAATACCCAACCAAAAACTACATTGGTGTATTCTACACATTTGAAAGACAGCCCTCCCTCTCTGTCTCACACACAAGCACTCTCTTCACAGTAACCCTATGGTTTTTTAATCATAAACGGATGATTAGGTAAGTAAGCAGAAGAACCAGGATGAGCTAATGGCATTTTTCATCTTCAGTGTGAGTGCCGTGTAACACATTTAGTGAGATTGCAGTGAGTCACCTGAAATACGTAGCAAGGTTAAAGTTAAAATGGGTTCTGTCATGTTGTGGTCTGAAAAAGGCAGAAGCCAAAAACCTTAGCATAAAAGAGTCATTAATTAAAGTCATGGAGAGATGGAAATTGATTTACCCCTGCCTGAGACATCCACCAAGACAGTGGTGTGGGGCTGGGAATGGAGGAGGGGACGGGAAGTGAAGGCCCAGAACACTGAGCTCAGCACCCATCCCAGAAGAGCTTCTTATCTATCTTAGTGCCCAGGGCCCCTCCACGTGTGCCCAAGTCAGCAAAGTTTAAAGTCTTGGCTGTTAACAGAGAGTGGGTCCAATGGCCTAACATACTTTGTAAGCTCGCTGAGTTTTATGCAACCTTTAGGGGGGGGTGTTGTAGGGTTTGCAGGATGGAGAAAGACAGCAGCTTCATAAAGTACTCAACTTACAAACAAGGGATAATTAAAGTTGCAGGATAAGCAGAAACATAGCTCACAGCTCTATCTTAGTAAGTGGTTACTATTTTGGGGAAAACTTTAACAGTAAATTGTTTACTTAATAGAGAAAAGGGGGACTGACTCACAGTATGGTCTCCTCTCTCTGCCTGGCAAATTCCTGTTGGCTCTTCAAGACTCACCTCAAAGCATTACTTCTGCTCTGAAGCCTTCCTTGAGCCGTTTGGACAGAGTGAAGTTACCCTCCCTGATATGGGTTAGAAATTCTGCACAATTTTCCTGTTGAAATGTAATCCCCAGTGTTGGAGGTGGGGCCTGGTGGGAGGTGATTGGATCATGGAGGTGGATTTCTCATGAATGGTTTAGCACCATCCCATTGGTACTGGCCTTGAGACAGTGAGCGAGTTCTTGTGAGATCTGGTGGCTTAAAAGCGTGTAGCACCTCCCCACTCTCTTTCTCTTGCTCCTGCTTTCGACACAGGACGTGTCTGCTCCCCACTCGCCTTCCACCATGACTGTGAGTGTCCTGAAGCTTCCCTAGAAGCTGAGCAGCTGGCACCATGCTTTCTGTAAAACCTGCAGAGCCATGAGGCAATTAAGCCTCTTTTTCTTTATAAATTACCCAGTCTCTGGTACTCCTTTATAGCAATGCAAGAACAGCCTGGCTTGCAGTGGTGGTTTGTGCCTGTACTCCTAGCACTTTGAGAGGCCCAGGTGGGCAGATCATTTGAAGTCAGGAGAGCAGCCTGACCAAACATGGTGAAACCTTATCTCTACTAAAAATATAAAAACGACCCAGGCATGGTGGTGTGTGCCTGTAATCCCAGCTACTCGGGAGGCTGAGGCACAAGAATTGCTTGAACCCGGGAGGTGGAGGTTGTAGTGAGCGAGACTGCGCGACTGCACTCCAGGCTGGGCAACAGAGCAAGATTCTTGTCTCCAAAAAGAAAAAAAAGAACAGCCTAATATATCTTCTCTCTGTAAAACTTGTACATAATTTTAAAAAATAATCATTCTCAGACTGCACTATGATCATGTCTTTTATGTCTACTTCCCCAATACGTTTGTGTGCTCCTGATATGTGGGATTCTGTCTTCTTCATCCTTCTTTAACTTTTTTTTTTTTTTGACGGAGTCTCGCTCTTTCACCCAGGCTGGAGTGGAGTGGCGCCATCTTGGCTCACTGCAAACTCCAACTCCCAGGTTCAAGCAATTCTCATGCCTCACCCTCCTGAGTAGCTGAGATTACAGCCATGCATCACCATGGCCAGCTAATTTTTGTATTTTTAGTAAAGAAAGGGTTTCACCATGTCGACCAGGCTGGTCTCGAACTCCTTGACTCAAGCAATCTGCTTGCCTCAACCTCCCAAAGTGCTGAGATTACAGGCGTGAATCACCACGCCTGGCCTATCTTTCTCTTTTTAAAATTACTTCAGTGCCTGATGCATGGCAGCACTCAGGAGAAGTCTGCAGAAGGATTGACTTGCCAGACAACTGACCACCAGCCCTGTGAAGAGCAGAAACAGCAGCCACCTGGGCAGTGTCCATTGCAAGTTCAAGGAAGGTTCCCTTGCCATTCACACATACACACACTCAAACTCACACACTTCTTTTATATGCTTAACAATTTAAAATCTCTCAATGGGCCAAGATTTTTTTCTACAACTACTGAGAGTGCTGATGGTTCAAATATCCATGGGAGAGGTATCACACTACCACCAAAGTTACCCTCCTTCTAGACCCTTACCCTTCAATCTATCATAATTTGGCTTCAGCCCTTAATAATCCACTGAAATTGACCTGGCAAAGGTCACTGTTTTGTACTTCTTGAATTTTGTACCATGTGCAGGTATGATGTGTTCAAAAAGAGTTGCATTTAAAAGTTCTGAAGAGAAAGTGCTTCGGGCAGTCAGGCGGTTCTGCCATGACTTGCTGGGTACCTGCCTGTGTCTCAGTTTTCTTCTCTCTAAAAAATGAGATGGCTCAAGATCACCATTGAGATCACATCCAGCTCTGAGAAAAGTTACATTCTGTATCTTATTTAAGAAAATAGAAAATGCAAATAAAAAAAGAATGACGTATACACAGCTCAGTATGCATCTTAAAGAATCTGCTCTTCCCCAAAGGAGACCTCTGAGATTGGGTGGGGCCAAAGCCCTTTTTTGCCATGAAAATAGTGAACTTGAAACCAATTTGGTGTGAAATATTTTGAAAAGGCTGGGTGCAGTGGCTCACACCTGTAATCCCAGCACTTTGCGAGGCTGAGGTGGGCGGATCATTTGAAGTCAGGAGTTCGAGACCAGCCTGGCCAACATGGTGAAACCCCGTCTCCACTAAAAATACAAAAATTGGCTGGGCATGGTGGTGGGTGCCTGTAATCTCAGTTTCTTGGGAGGCTAAGGCAGGAGAATTGCTTAAACCCAGGAGGCAGAGGTTGCAGTGAGTTGAGATTGCGCCACTGCACTCCAGCCTGGGCAATAGAGTGAGACTCTGTCTCAAAAAAAAAAAAAAAAGAAATATATATATATATATATAAAAAGTGAGTAGACTCACTGTGCACATCACAATGAGCCTTTTTTTGCTGTGGGAACTCACATCTCCTCCCTCTCCTTGCCCTTGGTTACTCACCCACAGCAGGTTGTTAAAGCTCGACAGTGGCCGCGGGTGAAAGGCAGGTGAAAAACATCCTTGTAGCTGTCATTTGACACAGAGAAACAGACTAAGAGTCAAGGATTTTCTAACAGACTAGAGATGATTGCAAGGAGAGAGGCCAAATTCTGTCACTTTTAAATTTCTCCCAGTGAAATAAATAACAAACCATGAAACACTGTTTTTACTCACTTTGAGCAGTTAAACACAGAGAAAAACAAGATTGGAACTGAATCTAAATCAAGATTCGAATGAATCTAAAAATCTAAGTTAGAATCTCATCTGAAAATTAAGCATTCTGGAACCTTGAGAGAATCTTCAACTCACCGACTTCAGTGCCTTTTCCCAGAGTGAAGGTGATTCCACACCCCTTGATTCCATCTTCTGCATCAGTTTCTATGACAACATAGGCAGTTGAGTAGTCAGGATCCGTGTGCTGCAGGAGAGAATTCCCCGCCGAAACGATGCCAGCATGAGAAACCCAAAAAGAACCATGAGAATGATGTCACATGAGGACAGACAATGCCACAGGGGTCATGCCACAAGAGCTCCCACAGAAGGAACTGTTGCTATACCCCAAAGAAAACAAAGGGCTCTGAATGGAGAAAAGGAATGTCCTCCTGAAAGATCCAAAGTGTTTCAATAAGTGCAACGTATACTTTTTTTTTTCGAGATGGAGTTTTGCTCTGTCACCTCGGCAGGAGTGCAGTGGCATGATCTCAGCTTACTGCAACCTCAGCCTCCCAAGCGCAAGTAATTCTCCTGCCTCAGCCTCCCAGGTAGCTGGGATTACAGGCACATGCCACCACACTCGGCTGATTTTTGTATTTTTAGCAGAGACGAAGTTTCACCACGTTGGCCAGGCTGGTCTTGAACTCCTGACTTCAGGTGATCTGCCTGCCTTGACCTCCCAAAGTGCTGGGATTACAAGTGTGAGCCACTGCACCTGATCGCAATGTATACATTTTTATCACCTGTTTTCAATTAGGTCAAAAAGTGAGGCTCATTTTTATTTATGTATTTATTTTCTAGATAAAAAAATAGAGATGGAGTCTTGCATGTTGCCCAGGCTGGTCTCAAACTCCAGAGCTCTAGTGATCCACCTGCTTGGGCCTTATCTTAAAGTGCTGGGATTACTTACAGGCATGAGCCATCAGGCCCAGCAGCGGCTCAATTTTAAGCCAAGGAGTTTTCACTCGCAGCTATCTCTGTCAGCTCTTTGAACAAAGTTACATTCACAAGCAGCTTCAAATTGAACAAGCCAAAGGTTCGGAAAACTCTTGCATAAAATTGGACTGATCTCACAGCAGTTTATAGCAGGGCTGAAAACACATTGGCACAAGGTCAGACACCAGTGGGGGAAAATGAAGAAGTAAAGCTTCTAGATGAATTCGCTCTTTTTTTGTTTTGTTCTATGTCATGGAATAATGGAGACCCCGAAAAGTCAGGCAGAAGATCTGAATGCATTCTTAAAGAAGAATTTTGCATAAGGCTATAACAATTTATTACTGTTGTTATTATTCTATAATATTTATTGTGCCAGACACACTATATTCTAAGAGCTCTACATGGTTTAATTTAATCCTATAACAGTATTATAAACTAGGTGCTCTTATCCCTATTAGAGAAGAGGAAATGAAGTTTTAAGGAGGTTTAGTAATTTGCAAACGGTCACACAAGTAAATAATATTTTATTATTATTATTATTATTATTGAGACTGAGTCTCACTCTGTCCTCCAGGCTGGAGCGCAGTGGCATGATCTTGGCTCACTGCAACCTCTGCCTCCTGGATTCAAGCGATTCTTCTGCCTCAGCCTCCCAAATAGCTGGGATTACAGGCACCCGCCACTATGTCCAGCTTTTTTTTTTTTTTTTTTTAGTAGAGATGGGATTTTGCCACGTTGACCAGGCTCGTCTTGAACTCCTGACCTCAGGTGATCCACCTGCCTCGGCTTCCCAAAATGCTAGGATTACAGGTGTGAGCCACCCCACCCGGCCACAAGTAAATTGTCAAGGCAGATTTTAATTCCCTGTATTGGGGGTGTTGTGGCTGAGGGAGCTGTATGTGATGGATGGGAGCCCTGAGTCTGGTGTCACAGCCCAGTGGCAGGAAATCAGTGTGATGCATCACTGAGCACCAACTACGTGTCAGAGCTGGTGCAGCTTGCAAGGGTGTTACAGATATGTCTGCCCTTGAGGAGGTTACATTTGAGAAGACCTGGTTATAGGATGGGCATGGTGGCTCATGCCTGTAATCCCAACACTTTGGGAGGCCAAGATAGGAGGATTGCTTGAACCCAGGAGTTCAAGCCTAGCCTGGGCAACAAAGCGAGACGCCATCTCTAAAATAAATAAATAAAAAGACATAGTTACAAAAACTTTAATAATATAAGGCAGAACATGCTAAGGCCTGGGAGAGATGCAAACTATGAATGACCGGCAGAGAGCACTGTTAGCTGAATGTGCTTCTTGAAGCGGGAGACGGCTTTATGAAGACAGAATCTGAGCTGGCCGGTCGAGGAAGGGGAGCTTCTCAGCAGTGGGAAGGGGAGTGAAGGGTTTGGGAGGGAGGAATATCTCAGGTGAGGTAGCAGCAGCAGTGCAGAAAGTAAAGGGGTCAGAAGAGGGAGAGACTGGAGTGTATTCAAGGGTTGGTGCCCATCCTGGCTTGGCTGAGCCATTGGGTTCCTGAAGGAGTTGAGCGATGAGGCTGAGAAGGAGACTCCAAGAATTAAAGACCCATCGACAGTTGCTGGGTTCCAAGAAGAGGAAGCAATGGAAAAAGGAAACTTTTCACTGAAGCCTCAGATGAGGGTCAACAGGACGAGATGAGCCAAAAGTGACTTGAAGCTTTTGGATCCCTGTGATTAGCAGAATGATCCAAGATGGGTCAGGAGGGAGGGGCGGCAGGGTATGGAAGATGACTTCCGATTTAGACAAACCGCGTTTAGCATGAAGGTGAAAAACCTAACAGGAAGTATCCAGACCTATGGGTTAAAGAGGCAGCTCCGGAAATGAGATCTGGGAATCTCCGGCATAAAGGGCGGCACCAAAGCCAGAATGCGGAGAGGGTCTTCACGGGAGTGTGCAGGGAGACGGGGAAGACGCTGGGGCCTGAGCCTGAGAGAGGGAAAAAGGGGCCAGTGGAGGAAGGAGGAGCCGTCAGAAAGGCAGGAGGCCATGAGGGGAGAGAGCCCACGAAGAGGCGGCCGACAGTGGAACAAGTATCCGAGAGTAAGGACAGCCAAAGGAGAAATAACAAGGGCAATTCACAGAGAAGAAAGGAACATAAATCGATTTCAGATTAAGAAGGAGGTAAGCCTGGCGTAGTGGCTCATGCCTGTAATCCAGCACTTTGGGAGGAAGAGTCAGGTGGATCACCTGAGCTCAGGAGATCGAGACCAGCCTGGACAATATGGTGAAACCCCGTCTCTATCAAAAATACAAAAATTAGCCGGGTGTGGTGGTGCACACCTGTAATCACAGCTACTCCAGAGGCTGAGGCATGAGAATCATTTGCACCTGGGTGGCAGAAGTTGCAGTGAGATGAGATCGCACCACTGCACTCCAGGCTGAGCGGAGACTCTGTCTTAAAAAAAAAAAAAAAAGCAGGAGTCTTTAGCAGATTTTGAGGATAGCTTTATTGCTCTTTCTTGATAATATCCTACTTGTGATCAGGGAGGCTCACTTTGCGGCTAAGTGCTGATGTTCCAGCATGCCTCAAGGGCATGTGAAGCCATCTCCATGGTGAACTGCAAAGCAGCTCATTCTAAAAGAAGGCACCTGAGAGTTGGATACAACATACGCCCTATCTCCCCAAGATAAAATGCTTAAGTATTTATGAGCTTGCAATACCACTCAGGCCCAGAGGCAAATTCCATTTCTTGAATTATTCTACAGCAAACCAGGCTGTCTTTTGAAACAGGGTCTCTCTCTGTCACCCAGACTGGAGTGCAGTGACACAATTACAGCTCATTGCAGCCTTGACCTCCCAGACTGAAGAGATCCTCCCACCTCAGCCTCCTGAGTGGCTGGGACCACAGGTGCACGCAACTAAGCCCAGCTAATTTTTGTATTTTTTTGTTGAGACGAGGTCTCACTATGTTGCTCAAGCTGGTCTCGAACTCCTGGGCTCAAGCGATCCACCTGCCTCGGCCTTCCAAAATGCTGGGATTATAGGCTTGAACAACCACCACGCTCAGCCAAACCAGGCTGTTTTAACATTTCACAAATTCAAAGTCAAGTCTAGATTAGGGGTTCCTTCTGCTTCAGTTTCCTCAGAGTGAATAGTAATTACAGCCAACCCCTCCTTTTTCCTTTAGAAACAAGGTCTCACTGTGTCATCCAGTGCCCAGGCTGGAGTGCAGTGGCACGATCATAGTTCACTGTAATTGAACTCCTGGGCTCAAGTGATCCTCCTGCCTAGGCCTCCACTTAGGATTACAGGTGTGAGCCTCATGCCTGGCCTATAGCCAACTTTACTGACGGCCTTCTCTGAGCCAGGCTCTTTACAGGTATCTCATTTACATATATAAAGTGAATATTATTATACCCATTTTACAGATGAGAAACCTAGGCTTAGAAAGATTGTGTGACTTACCCACAGCTGCTAAAGCTTCACAGAGGCAAAGGCAGTTGCATGAGATTGAGTGTTTGGATTCTATAAGACAGTAAAATTTCAAACATTTGAGTTCCATAAAGGATTGCCTGCTGGGTGTTTAAGTCATTTACCAACATCATATAAGAAAGGACACATGAAGATTTTAAAGAGGATGACAGCCTGGGCCCTGTCTCTACAAAAAATACAAAAAGAAGCTGGGCTTCATGGCGCACACCTGTAGTCCCAGCTACTTGGGAGGCTGAGGTGGGAGGATTGGTTGAGCCAGGGAGGTCAAGGCTGCTGTGAGCCATGATAGTACCGCTGCGCTCCAGCTTGGGCAACCGATAAGAGACCTTGCCTCAAAATAAATAAACAAATAAATTTTAAAAATAAAATAGAATAAAATTTTAAAAATGCAGGATGAACTTAATCTCAAAAAGGACATTCTTTTGCATTTAAAAACTTTCTTTAACAAGAGGTATATTTTTATAAAATATTTCAGGTACAGAAAGAGTATAGATAATGTAATGAACACCAGCTTGCCATCCACCCAGTTTAGGAAGTAAAACATTACAGTGGGAATTAGAGACCTCGTGGTCCCCTCCGTGACCCCGTGGTCCCCTCCGTGACCTCGTGGTCCCCTCCGTGACCCCATTTCCTTTCCTCCCTACTGGTAACCATTTTCCTAACATTGCCGTTCCTCACTTCCCGGCATACTTTCACACATTCACCACGTGCCCATACAACTCTGCTTTTCTAGCGCGGCCAGTCACATCAGTGGACCAAGACGGGCACTGAGGACCCAGAGGGGAACAGGCTCCCTGAAGACCCTGCATAGTGTTTGGGAAACACCGCTCTAGAAGGGGGAGGGGAGGGAAGGCCTGACGTTCTAACACCCTCAGTAAGCAAAAAAGACCTTCAGTATTTAGGTAGGAGTCAGAGTTCCTGCCCTTACTTTATTACATCTCTTAAGACTGATACTTGCATCAATCCTTTCTAACCATGTTTGAGGGTAATTTCATGAGCGCTCCCTCTCATGTGACCCGGTTATCACGCGCTTGCTTTCTCAACCCGACCGTGACACCTTCATTTCATGGACGGGTCCAAAAGACCCAGAGGTTTGGATCTTCTCCAAGTCACACAGCAAGTTGCGGAGGCGGGATCACCACTCCAAACTCCCAGCCCCGGCCTTCCTGTTCTCCCTCACCGCGAACCCCGTCGCGTTCAGGGCACAGAGGAAGCCAGCTAGCGCTGTGCTCTAGGGTTTCATTGGCGGGAACCCAAGAAAATAATTTTGCTGCTATTGCCTATTATGCATTCTACCATTTCCAGCAAAATGTGAGTCGTAAAAGTAAAACCAGGATATTCTAAACTCCAGCAAAGAAAAAACCCAGGAGAGTGGAAAGCTTCTGGATACTTATACAATTGCTCCAAGGCATGAAAAACAAGTGTCTGCTCCAGGCGCGCCTCCCACCGTACAGAAGCAATGGGTTCGAAGTCGGGAAGCTACCCGGGGCCTGCAGGTCTGCAGTCGGCGGGGCGAGACGGACCCGGGCCGCAGGCCACCCTTACCATGGCGTCTGAGCCGTGGCCCCCAAGCGACGTCGGGAAGCGCACGTCCCGGACCGAGAGCCGGGAGATCCTGCCGCGCACCATGCTCCCCGCACCCCGCAGCCGCGCCACCCGTGCGGTCAGGACTGGTCGGGATCCCCAGTGCGCGGCGGGAGGGTGGGAGCACGGCGAGGCGGGGCACCGTAGGGGCATAGAGGGCGCTCATTGGCCACGCGGCCGCACCCCGTGAGCTTGGCCCCATGGGAGCTCCAGTCCCCGTTCGGGGCTCCCCGGGGCGCGCTCCGCCTTCCGCCGTTCCCTTCTCAGCCTGGAAGGAGCTGACCCCGCGGGGGTTCGCTCAGGGCCGCCGCGGAACCTGGGCGGGCAGGAGGCCTCGCGCCAGGTCGGCACCTCCGCGGGACCCTGCTCGGCCCGATTTGAAGACTCGTGAAGGGACCTGCCCGGGAGCGGCACGCTGGAGGGAGACCTCGGGTCTGAGCGAGTGCATTTGCTCAGCGGCAGATTCCGGCCAGTGGCTCAGCTCCCGACCCGAGGCCGCAGGTGCCGCCAGCGTACCCAGGAGAGCAGTGCGCTAGAAAATGCTAGGTCTCTTTAAGTGCCCACAGTCTCAGTTTGCCACCTGATAAATTAAGAGGCAGGTCATCATTTATTACACCCATACCGATGCAGGGTGTTTTAAATACCTTACCTCAGCCTGTAATCCCAGCACTTCGGGAGGCCGAGGCGGGCGGATCACCTGAGGTCAGGAGTTTGAAATCAGCCTGGCCAGCATGGCGAAATCCCGCCTCTACTAAAAGTACAATAATTAGCAGGGTGTGGTGGTGCGAGCCTGTAATCCCAGCTACTAGGGAGGCTGAGGCAGAATTACTTGAACCTGGGAGGCGGAGCTTGCAGTGAGCTGAGATCGCGCCGCTACACTCCAGCCTGGGCGACAGAGCGAGACTCCGACTCCAAATAAATAAATAAATAAATAAATAAATAAATAAATAAATAAATAAATAACAAATAATAATAAATACATGGCTGTTGGGTGTCTCATTTATAATTCTTCATGAAATAGAGCCGAGGCGGGATGGATCCCGGCACACATATTTAAGACCACCTAAAACACAAACAAATAAGCAACAATAATAACAAGGGCTACATGCTGTCCCCCACGCCCACTCCAGCAGTTTAGAGGCGATAAAGAACTAGAGGGCTGTGAGATGGAGACCATTCACACACGGCAGAAACCGCCTCTACTGGGGTAAACAGGCACCACAGTCTGGCCTGTGGCGGCCACCACATCCTGAAGCACTGGGAGGGCTGAGGCAGAGAAGACCTGACTGGGAGGCGAGGCTGCGAGTCAGACTGTGCCACTAACGAAATGAAGAGATGTGCGAGACTCGTCATAAAATAAAATGGCAGAAAATTAAAAACAAAAAAACGCACAGAGTAACTACAGGAGTTCTTCAATGCATAGAAATGAATAAATAAATAAATAAATAAATAAATAAATAAATAAATAAATAAATAAGGCTGGGCGCGGTGTCTCACGCCTATAATTCTAGCAGTTTAGGAGGCCGAGGCGGGCGGATCCCGAGGCGACAGAGCGAGACTCCGACTCTAAATAAATAAATAAATAAATAAATAAATAAATAAGGCTGGGCGCGGTGTCTCACGCCTATAATTCTAGCAGTTTGGGAGGCGGAGGCGGGCGGATCCAGAGGTCAGGAGATGGAGACCATTCTGGCTAACACGGTGAAACCCCGTCTCTACTAAAAACACAAAAAATTAGCCCGGCCTGGTGGCGGTCACCTGTAGTCCCAGTTACTCGGGAGGCTGAGGCAGGAGAATCATCTGAACGTGGGAGGCAGAGGTTGCGGTGAGCCGAGACTGTGCCACTGCACTCCAGGCTGGGCGACAAAGCGAGACTCCGTCTACAAAATAAAAATTAAGAAAAAATTAAAAAATTAAAAAAAAAAAACGGGCCAAGAAAATTCAGTGAGTAAGTCTTTCCAACAAATGGTGCTCGAACAATTGAATATCCCTATGAACGAACAACACAACCCTGGATCCTTACCTTATATCATACACAAAAATCATCTCGAAGTGGAATATAGATCCAAATTTTAAGAGCTAGAATTATAGAACTTCTAAAGAAAACACAGGAGAAAATCTTTTTGTACTTGGATAAAACAAACTTTCTTAGGACATTAAAAGCATGAATCATAAAAGAAAAACATTGTCAATTAAATTATCAAAATTAAAAATGTTTTCTCTTTGATAAAAACCATTAAATAAATGAAAACGCAAGCTGTGATTGACAGAAAAATATTTGCAAAACATATCTGTTAAAGGACTTGTATGCAGAATATTGAAAAAATTACAACTCAGTACGATGACTTGATATAAAAAACGGGCAAAAGACTTTAATAGACATTCCACCTAAGCAGATATATGAATTTGAAATAAGCTTATGAAAAGACTCAACATTATTAGTCATTAGGGAAACGCACATTAAAACCACAGTGATGTCCTACTAACACGCACCGGGATGGCTACAATTAAAGTGACTGGCAATACCAAGTATTGGCAAGGATGTGAAGCAGCTGGAACTCTCATACATTGCTGGAGGGGTGTGAAAGGGTACAGCTTCTTTGGAAAATAGGTTATCAGTTTCTCAGAAAGTTAAACATTCATGTACTATACAACTCAGTAATCCTAGTCATAGGTAATTATGCAAGAGAATTTAAAACCTATGTTTAAAACAAAAACTTGTATTTGAATGTTCATAGCAGCTTTCTGATAGCCTAAAACTAGTAACCACCTAAACATCCATCAACTGGTAAAAGGACAAAACCAGGATATAGTACACATCCATGCAATGGAATATTACTGAGCCATAAAAACATGAATCTCAAAAGCATTATGCTAAACGAAAGACATCAGACACATTGACTACATATGATTCCATTTATACAAAGCCCTAGAAATGTACAGTCACAGAAAACACTCAGTGGTTGCCAGAGGTCAGGGTGAATGGAAGAGGTTGACTGTAAAAGGGCATAATGGAATTTTCTGAAATGATGGAAATGTTCTGTGATTCTGGTAGTGGTTTCATGGCTGTATACATTTGTCAAAAACTCCAGTGGTACACTTAAAATGGTGAGTTTGTTGTATGTAAATTATACCTCAGTAAAACAAAAAATATTGCTTTGGGGTGCTGCCTCCTCTTTGAATTTGATTCTAAGTTTGAATTTTCTTTGAAATTGTACTTAAAACTGCAAAAATGTTCTCTTGTATTTCTTTTAGATTGGGTTTCTTCTGGTTCCACGAGTTTTTCAAAATTTCTGCTTAAGTGATACCACCCTTTTCTAACTTTCTAGCAATGATAAAGATTTACAAAAACCAACCAAACCAAGTTTGCCATCTAGTTCCACGGTATACCCTCTCAGTGTTTTAGGAGACTAAGACTTTCCATGAAAATGGTGCAATTATGAGTGAATAAGTGGAATTTAATAAACTTTAAGGGCCATACCACTTTAATTCAGTTATTAGAATCTGTCAACCTTTTTGGTCAACTGCAAAGTTTTTATTTCTCTCATCCCTATTGTCACAGGGTAGTGACAATTTTTTACTTGGATTTTCAAAGTCCTCCAACTTACTCAAGTTAACTTGACCTTTAAGATCGCAGTGAAGCTGGATTGAACCCCTATGCCATGTCCCTGTGAAATCCAGTGTCTCTCCAAGTATCTCTGGAAGTACTGGTGGTCTTTTCTTCTACTGACCTGATTTATTTCCCGAATTAATTTCCCCATTGCATTTAAGCTAGGTTATGAAATCCATCCCTATCGTTTTTTGTACCTTGTCATTATACCTTCTGGCCGTGACCCCAATCCCTTTTCTTTCCTAAGGTCACTGACTCACGGTTGTGTGTAGCCGATTTGCAGGAAGGTTTGGGGTAGCAAGGACTCTGCAAGGATCTTAAAATTGAATACCGCCATCTGTTTCTTCAAGGTCCCAGGGGCCATTCCTGCTACTACAGAATTTTCACATATTATCTACTTAGCTTTTATCGTTTTACTAAGTGTCATTTCTAGTTCTATTTTTTTTTTGAGACAGGGTCTCACTCTGTCACCCAGATTGGAGTGCAGTGGCGCGATCACAGTTCACTGCAGTTTCTACCTCCTGGGCTCAAACAATTCTCCCACCTCAGCCTCCTTAGAAGTTGGGACCACAGGTACGCACCACCATGCCCAGCTAATTTTTGTACAGATGGGGTTTCGTCATGCTGCCCAGGCAGATCTTGAACTCCTGGGCTCAAGCGATCCTCCAGACCAGACTCCCAAAGTGTTGGGATTACAGGCATGAATCACTGCACCCAGCCTCCTTCCTATTCATTTTAAGATTCAACTTGTAAGTTATTGAATTGCAGTATAACAGCTAATTGAACATTCTGTCCAAGTTTTAGAAGAAATGGTTTACTAATACTGGAAAAATAGACACTGAAAAACTCATTTAAAAAATATTTGTTTTGGGGCAGTTGTGGTGGCTCATGCCTATAATCCCAGCATTTTGGGAGGTCGAGGTGGGCGGATCATCTGAGGTCAGAAGTTCGAGAGCAGCCTGGCCAACATGGCGAAACCCTGTCTCTATTAAAAATACAAAAATTAGCTGGGCATGGTGGCACACACCTGTAATACCAGCTACTCGGGAGGCTGAGGCGCAAGGATTGCTCTAACCTGGGAGGCAGAGGTTGCAGTGAGCCAAGATCGCATCACAGCACTCCACATTGAGTATAAAATGTGCCTGGCCCTTAAGTCACATTTTATACTCAACTTCCAAATGAATTAAAATGCTTTTTAAAAAGCATAACCTATAGGGCTGGGTGCAGTGGCTTATGCCTGTAATCCCAGCACTTTGGGAGGCCGAGGCAGGCGGATCACTTGAGCTCAGGAGTTCTGAGACCAGCCTAAGCAAATGGCAAAATCCTGTCTCTACAAAATATCAAAAGTTAGCCAGGCAATGTGGCTCACGCCTGTACTCCCAGCTACTTGGGAGACTGACGTGGGAGGATTGCTTGAGCCTGGGAGGTCGAGGCTGCAGTGAGTCATGATGGTGCCACTGCACTTCAACCTGGGCAACAGAGCAAGATCCTGTCTCTCTCTCTCTCTCTCACACACACACA